GAAATATGTACATATCTCAAAACAATAAAGAGAAGAATATAAAGTAACAACACAAAACTCTGAGAAAACAATCTAACACTATGACTTAAAACATCAAATCCCAATAACATTTATATGCTCATTGTCTCATTCAACATACACAAATGAGCATATGATATCTCAATACAATAGGAACCAATTGATCAACTTATTATCTTAAGTCATCATTCCATAAGCATTACACATTTCCATCCAAATTCAATCTTCAACAACTAAAGTATCTTTGGATACAACTAATGGAATAATAACAGGTTATAATCTTTATAAGGGGAGTTGAATTGAAAGTGAGGTAAAATCAATCATTGGTGAAATAAGTAGATATCTTATGGGAAAGAAAATAATAAGTACATGGAAAAAGAATAAAAGCTTAACTAAATCTTAATCAAGATCTTGTTACTTTGTCTAGACCATCTTATCTTCTTATCTCTCAATATTATTGAAGTCATCCTACAAGAGAAGGAACCTACATGAAAGGTGGAACTACAACAAGAAGATGGGCAGAAGGATTCTTTAGGTTGATCTACAAGTACTATTCCAATCCATCATAGAGTATTTGGAAACTCTTATATCAAAATCTATTCTTCTTAAACCATTAGAAATAGTGTGACATCTCAATGTTAGTGCTATATAGAAGTAGTTTGGTAACAAGTCTTGCAACCTTGTTAACAAATCACCTTTGTATGCTCTAACAATTGAATGTCATACACAAATAAACACAAGGTTAGATAACCTAGTATATCTCATCCATTTGTATATGAAAAGTAATTTGGAGACAAGTCTTGCAAACTTGTTAACAAATTCTTCTATATGCATAGGGCAAATTGATGTCATAAAATACACCCACATTCTTTTATAATCATCTAGGAGAAATCTTTGTTTGAGTAATGGGTTGTCTTCACCACAAGGGTGATGCAATTGAGGTTGGAATCAAAGAAAGGACATCAAGAAGTTATCTCAGGTCCAGGGATTTGCTAGAGAGATCAATACCAAAGTAAAAGGCCACAATGGACTATGGATCATTAGGATCATTTTGATTCAAATAGGAAACTATGATAAGATACAACCATGATCCATATAAGGGAAAGAATAACAATGAGGACATAGCAAATCACAATATAACTTAGGAAACATATTCAAGTTTCTAAATAAGAAAGTTATATGGAGAATTATGGTATTACTCCAAGGATATGAATTCCAATGAGTAAGTAAAGCCAAATCATAAAGCCACATAATTACCAACCATAACTTGAATGGCATAATATAACCCTCACATTTTGTGAGTGGTCAAGTCTCATAAGAGAGCACTTCACAAGTTCATCTTGTGACAAAGGTCATTTGGCTTGCTCCTGAGTTCTTTCTCAAGAAAAGATAAATTTGGACATGTGGATAATAGAATCACATGGGCTGCCTAGTCACCAGTTGTTCTAACAATTTGCTTCCACACACTCAAGTAACAAGTTCCTATCAAAGAGGAGTGCATCAACTTGTTCAACATTAGGATGAGTTATGGAATTAAGAGATATTATATTCTCATCATTTTACTCATCCATTTTGCCATAACACCTGATCACAGGCAGGACAATTGTAAATTATGCATCCACTGACATCTGATCATGTTTTCACATGATTTAGTTGTCAAGTACCACAAACCAAAGCCACTGTGATAATATATCATGTTGGCAAGTAATTGAATGAAAACAGTGGGAAGACTTTTGTAGTCATCATAGGGAGCAAATTAAGTAAATATTGTTGGACAACAATTTAGTGTTGCCCAGGAGTTAATAAAGCACTCAATCTGTAGCATTCCAAAAACTACAAGTAGTCACAAATAAATAATTATAGCAATATGTTTTCATGTTGCTAATCATATATAACAAAAAGTGATTAAGGTTACACCTTTCAAAATGAGAGACAAATCCATAACACTAGTTGAAACCTTTATATAAATTGATGTCCACAAGTGGTGGCAAATCCATTTATTTCCCAAAGTCATTTAGATTCCAAGTATAGAACTCATTAGTGGTTAACCATGATTTCAATGCATAAAACTTTACTAAGAAGTTTTACAAATTATTTTCTAAATCCATTGTAGTTAAAATGTCCAATTAAAAATGTTCAACATACAATTTTGGCAATAACATGTTTGTTGTGTTATGCTAGTATCATAGCATGTAAGAAAGAGTTGTGCAATTCATTTGAAATCTAAATTTAGAGAAAATAACAATTTGTCACAAATAAATAAAAGGGCAATGTAATTTCATGTTTCTAAAATCATTGAGCAACAAAAATAGAGGTGTTAAGTCTCACATTTCCAAATGTGAAATAAACCCAATAGGCCAAAATTCAATTTAAATGGTGAAGAAATTTAAATATAGAGAAAATAACAAAAAAAATCACTTAATTGAGCATCCTAAGTTCAAAATTCAAAACTTGCTAAAAATTGAAAAACCAAAACATGGTGAGCTTGGAAATTTGATAAGGAATTCAAATCTTATTTTTAATAATTTTTATTATTGCAAATAGGCCCTGAAAACATCTGTTTTCTATTCTGTTTTAATGGCAGAAGGGCTTGTTTGTAATTTTCCGGAAGCTTGAGGGGGCTTCTATGAAAATTCATTTTTTCCCCGTCGATGGAAGCAGCTGCGTGGCCGCGCCGAGATCACTGTCGTTCCACGTCCTGCTTGCCGCCCTCGCCAGGAGAAGTACACCACGACGTCATTTCTTCTCTCTTTTTCCCTTTCTCTATTTCTTTCTACTGGGCGGAAACTCATTTCTCTTCCCTGCGGCCCATTTTTTTCTTCCTCTCCTTTTTCTTCCCCGTCCGGCCCACTTGGCCTTTCTCTCCCGCGCGACCCACCGCACCCTTGCCTCCATCGAACCGAACCCGGCCGTGCTGTACGAGTCCGCCTCGGCGTGAGCGCCCCGGAGACCCTAGGGCTCTACGCCTATAAAAGTTGGGCCCCGTGCTCCCGTATCTCCCGCATCTGCCGCAACCGATTCCTCGCGCCGCATCCGATCCCGCCGCCCCGCGCCGAAACCCTAGCCGCCGCCGCCCTCCATTGACGCGCCAAGTCGAGCTCGAAGCCTCGCCTCCCAGAGCCGCCTTGTCCGTCGCCAAGCAGCCCAGAAGCAATCCCGGAGCCGCCGCATCCCGTTTGGGCCGAAACCGACGCGTCCCCGGCTCCGGAACCAACTCCTCGCTCTACTCCGACGACCTCCATCCCTCTCCTCCGACGAACGGCATCTCCCGGACCTCCCCGACGTGTTTACGTCCCAGGGTAATGATCTCCTCGAGCTCCTCTTCGATTTGTTCCAACGCCGGCAAGGATCCGAGCACTGCAGCGTTAGCGCCCCTCTACTCAGTATTTCCAATAAGAGGATCTCTTTGGCACTCGAAAACAGCCCGACCCCGCGTCGACACGGGGGAAACCCTACCCACGCCGCCGCCGGGAACCTCCCCCGCCCCTCCTCGCTTTGCCGCCGTCGGAGGGATTGCCGGCGAAGCTGTGCCGAGCTCCGGGATGGTGGCGGCGGGGCAGATCCGTTCCTCCCGCTGCGCCCCTCCACCTCCACCCCGAGGTCCACTCTGGTGCGGCTCGGGATGATCCTCTCCGACGGCTGCTTCCCGTCCCGCTATTCCGGTCGTTCGTCGGCGCTGGCATAGCCCCCTGCTCCAGCCACTTCCCTCTGCCATCCTCTGGTCGTCCAGTTCCCCTCCAACTCCGGGTCACCGTCCCTCAGGTCCATCTTCCCCCGCCAGATCCATCTCCTCTGCGGAGCTGCCGGATTCAGCCCTGTTCGGCGCTGCTGCGGCCCCCCGTCCAAACCCATCCCGCCCGGCTGCACCTTCTCCAGCCACCAGCGTCGCCTTTCCTGGTGGCTCGCTGATTTGTAGCTTGGCGCGCGTCTGCGGTGGAGTTCCAGCTTCGTCCTCCGGCTGCCTGCTTCCCCTACCAGCCACCAGCCTCTGGTGTGTGCTGCGGCCGGGCCTTGGCCTGGTTCCGGCGCCTTTCCCGGCGGCACGGCCCATCCTCCTCTTCGGGATGGCCATTTTGTGCTGGTGGCGGAAGTCTGGGTCTTCTGCCCAGATCAGCGAGGGGGGTGCCGAGTGGTGGTGGGTCTTGTGGGCTTGTCTCGCCTTCCTGTGGTGGCTGCTCCAGCCAGCATGTTGTCATGTCCGCGTCTCTGACTCCGACGACTTCTTTGGAAAAGCCCTGCTCAGCTTGCCCATGCTGGTAGGGTAGTGGCGACACCTGAGGGTGCCGTCCCTTTTTTGAAGGCGCTACCATGGCCTCTCTACCGTGCCCCTTGAGCGCCAGGGGAAACCCTTGGTCCGGTTCACCGGATTGAACAGCGACGGCTTCATGATGTCGCATCCTTCGTGAAGGCGTTGTCATGCGGCATTGGATTGTGATGTTGGACACCGTGCTTGGTCTATCTGCTTCCCAGGGCGTGGGCTATCATGGCGCAATGTACGAAATCACTGGCACTTCCTTGAGCGTTTCCTCCTCCGACATGGCCGAGTCCTGCATCCTACTTGCCAACTGCTCTAGGCGCATAAGGTGGGAGTATGTTGATTTGGTCTGTGTTGGGGTGGTGGCCGCGTGATGGAGGTGTCATGTGTTGGTCGTGACGCGGTTTGTGTGCATGTGTGCTTCTCTTTGCCGTCCGTGGCTAGTGTTTCGGTTGGATGTGTAGCTTGTTAGTGCTCTGCTGTAACTGTTCTCCTCTACCTATCAATGAAATGATACGCAATTCTTTGCGTATTCGCGAAAAAAAAGTATTTCCAATAAGAAAACTAATTCCAGAAAATAAATATAAATCCTGAACTTTGCAGAATAGCCCCTGGGTTTATTTTAAATAATACTACTTTAGCCCTCTGTTTAACATTTTAGACCTTTAACTTAACATTTTAGCACAGGCCGTTACCAATCTTCCACTGCTCCCGCTTGCCCGCAGCCATGGCGAGCAGCTTCGCGCTGCTGCTGCTCCTCCTGGCGGCGGTCGCGTCCACGATCGCCGAGCTGGACGAGAGGGAGCCGCACATCGATCCAGCGTCCACCATCGCCGAGCTGTTGAATGCGGCAGTCACGTCCACCACCGCCGAGCTCGATGATGTCGAGCCAGCCGACTGCGACGGCTACAGGACTTACATCGTCATGCTCGAGCCACTAGAAGGAGGCCAAGATGCTGATGTTGATGCTGCCAGAGCGTGGCACCGCTCCTTCCTGCCATCGTCGACGACGGCACAAGGCAAGCCGAGGCTGCTCTATTCCTACCGGACCGTCTTCACCGGCTTCGCCGCGTGGCTGACGGATGAGGAGCTCAAGGAGAAGGAGGTCTCCGCCAAGCCAGGCTTCGTCCGCTCCTTCGACAACAACATCTACCGCGGGCAGATGACGCCGACGCCGACGTCGGTGTCGTTCGTGGACCTGTCGAACCATATTGGGGAGTCCCCGGATAACTGACCTGGTGTCGGCGGATACTTGCCTTTGGACATGGACAACAGGCACGTCTGTTAACGTATATACTAGAAGGAAATGACCGCGCGTTGCCGCGTCCGGTCTAATACAATCGACGATAAATAAATAATGTTTTTTAGTGAAAATGTATAAATATAGTACATATAATGAAAACAGTAGTACCACTAGCTCACTCTCTTGCAAAACGATCACTGAGACATACTCACATAAATATAGAGAAGTAAAGAAAGAAACATGATTATGTGAGTTGTAGCAAGAATATGACTACACCACTCAAGGGATAGAACACAGGACCCTGTAAAAAAAGTTTAAGCTCTTAGATACTTAGACAATTAAAATACGACCAGAATTATGAAATGTCATGAAAGGTAAATTGTGTACATGGTTCTATGAAGATTCCAACAAAAGAATTGAACAAATTTCCGACAATATGTAGACAATGTACGACATATATGATGAGCATTGCAAACTCAAGAAATGATTATTCATGACTTGATTAGCCATCGAGACAAGGTCACATATTTATTGTAATGAAATCAAATAGACTTTTCTGCATTAGTTATTCCACAGTCAGTAATAGTTGGTATAATTATGTCCTGAGAAATTCAATCAATTCGATCGAGTACAAATACTATGTAAATGTAAGAATATTCTGCCAATAAATACTAAATAATGCACACACAAAATAGAGCAAGGTGAGATCTTAAATGGTTTATATGCCATTTTTTAATCTGAGAATCAGATCCATATTACATAAAATAAAATGTAAACAAAAATAAATGGCATGAATACCACCAATAATTTTGAGTATATATCTAATTGCAGAAATGGCCATCTCTAAACATTTAGTTTTTCATCTTCACTGTACTTCACATGCTATTTTATCATTGTACAATCATGACTTTTCTGCACTCTAACGACTTCAGATGAGGCTAGACACACATAGCTCCTTTTCAGTTGATGCATCCAACCATCTACCAAATAAACACACACACTTGCTTACATAATACATTCTCTTAGTATTAATGACATGTAAGCAAATAAAGTGTAGAGAAAAGGTTCACAAATAAATACACACATGATCTTTTATCAGTTTATAAAGTGTAGAGAAAAGGTTCACAAATAAATACTCACATGATCTTTTTATCAGTAATTAGGTGGCATCCGACAAAATGCGTCTAACTCATCATACCACCCTCGTTCACCATCGAATTGTTCCTCACGGTATCAATCGCGGCTGCCACCATCACCGAGTCGAGCAACACTAACAGCAACAGCGGCATCCGCGACTGATGCGAGAGTTGACATGGGTATCACGTGCAATTATTGTGTGAGATGTAGGTAGTAAACCTCACGGGCCAGCATTGGGTGGCCACAAAAATATGCATCGACGGGGAGCTTACGTGGCTTGCAAGTTAACAATGGACTTGAGAGGCGACATTGGAAATGGAGGGGCTCCGTATTCCAAGGGGCTTAATGGAGCCATATGAGTGTGCGAAGAGGTGGGTAAAATTTCAGTGAAACGAATGTTTTTGGTAGAATACAGATCGAGGGAAGCGGAGGGAGAGAAATGATGCTGTGTGGTTTAGCCCGCGTGATGCTATGGTGGGCGCTGGCGGCAGAGAAAGGATAAGTGAGAGAGTTGTCAGAAATTACCTGTAACTTTGAGCTCACCACATTTTCTTTTTCTAGAAAAAATGAAACGACATGTCTAAGTTTCATTATTTGGCCAATAAAGCATACAACTATATATATATATATATATATATATAGATATAGATATAGATATAGATATAGATATAGATATAGATATAGATATAGATATATATATAGACACACACACACATGTGTATGTATTCAACTTATTTTTTTGTAGTTGTGAACTATAGATGGGGTCCATGATCCACCATGGTGTAGTATAAAGATTAGTATTTAACTAAATGATATCAAAGTGGGGTCCATTTTGATGTGGACATGTGAAGTAAGGAAAAGGCAAGAATTATAGGGAGCTTAGTATTTGTAGAGATTTATAAACAGAAACAGCAGCACGGCATATGTTTTATTCTATCAGCTTCCACATCTGAAAGCTGCACATTTTCAAACACATACTTATCCTCTCCAATTTCAGTTTAATTTCAAAGCAACTTTGGGTTTAGATTGCAAGACATCAAGAGGATCTTTGTAAGAGCAGGAACACCCATCTTCATCTTCTTTTTCTTTCTTTTTTCGTTATGTGTGTCCATCAAATGGATGGGTAATGCATCATCAAAGTTCTCCAATGGGGAGCGTTGCATCTTGATTTCGTTGAGCTGGGACTTTTGCTGCTGTCTGTCCAATATAGATGTAGGGATTGGGAGTGAAAAAAAGGAGATGTCTTCACCTAGAGTTCTGTCAGCTGAGCACTGATCCTTTCGGTGGTAATTCCTTTTGGTGGTAATTCTAATTCGCAGTTGGATGCCCCCGGAGGATGGCTCTCCCGTCTCCCTCCTCTCCCTCTCTCCCTAGGCGCTCTCCATCCACCCCCGCCTCTCCATCCCCCTCCCCGTCACCGGTGGCGTGGCCCGGGCGTCTTCCCCTCCCCTCGCTGATGCGACCCTCCCCCTCCCCCCTGCATGCGTGCCGGTGTTGTCTTCTCCTCCTCCTTCTCCTCTACCCGTGTTGGGATCTCGCTTTTGGGCTCTCGCCTCCGATGAGGACGAGCCGTGGTCTGCTCCTTCCTCCCCCTGCTGCTCGCCGGCGGGTCCGGGGCGGTCGGCGGCCCTCCCTCCTGCGCCCCGCCCCCGCAAATTTGCTCCTGGTGGGAAGGGTCGGCCTTGGGCTGCTGCAGTGCCCGATGATGGCTGGATCCGGGTTTCTCGCCGTCGGTGCAAGTTTGGTAAGAGTTCGGTTGTTCTTCCTGGTTTGGGGATTCTGGGAGCCGCCCCTGATGGGGAGCTTGGTGGCTCTCCCCATCATCCTCTTCCTCCTGTGGTGATTCCCCGTCTGCCGCGCCGCCAGCGGCGGTGCTCCCGGGGCGGTTGGTGCCGCCGGTGTCGCTTGACCTAGATCTGGTGGTCACTCCGTTGGGTAATGGGCCGCTAGCTGGGCCCTCTGGTGGGCTTGTTGGGCCGCTCGCTGCTGCCCCACCAGGTGGGACCTCTTTCCCCCCGCTTTCGTCTGTCGTCGATTTTCCCCCTCTAGCATCTACTGGCCCAGTTAGGGTCCCCGCTGTGTTGCCTGCTCCTTCCGCTTCGGTGGCCCATTCAGCCCGTCGGGCCCAGGTGGGCACGGCGTCGACCGGCTACTTATGGATTCCCCGTGGTTCCTCCCCCCTTTGCTAGGTTTTCCGGCTTCCGCTGCAGATTTGCGCCGCCACCGCTTTCCCATCCGCCGTCTCGTCAGATCTAGCCCTCCTCCTCCCCTTCTCCTCTCCTTTGCTGCGGTGCTCACCATGGACAAGTCTCGGGACTCGTCGTGCGAGGCTGTGTCGGGCAGTAAGCGGCCGCGCGAGGAGTCGCCTGCGTCTACGGTGGATCTGGAGCTCGAGGCCGAGCTCCGCTCTAAGCTGGAGGCGGAGCAAGCGGCCCGCGAGCAGGTGGCTCGGGACCGTGCGGCCTGGGCTGCGGGTCCGGATTGGTCACAGCGCTCGGAGCGGGGGCGCGCCCCTGGCTCTGGCCCTTCGCGTCCTGCTTCTGGTCCCTCTCCTCCTCCTGTGGTGGATCCATGGGAGGCGGCGGCGGCCTTCGGTGGTGGGGGTTCTTCCTCCTCGGGCTCCTTGCCTGTGCTTGGCGCGGGGCGCGGCGCGCCTGCCCCGGTGCGTTTCCCCCCTCCTCCTCGTCCGGCTAGTGCGGGTGTGGGGTCCCGCCCGCCGCCTCGGTCCTTCGTGGGGGCGGCGCGGTGCCCCTCGGTCCTCTCCCTGGATCTTCCTCCTCGCCGGTGGTTGGGGACGGGATCTTGCCTCCTCCTCCTTCGCTCCCGCATCCCCGCCCCTCCTCTGCCTCCCACAGCAATCCTTCTGCGCTCACCTGCTTCGCCTGCCACAAGCCCAATCACTTCCAATCTCGATGTACCAACCCTCCATTCTGCCTGATTTTCCGCTCTGATGGGCACCTCACGGTCAATTGCTCTAATAGACTGAAACCTCCCTCGCTCCTCCAGTTTGGTACTGGCCTCCCTGGTTGTGCCTTCTTTGGTTTTGATAGTGATCTGCCTACTCTGGAGGTGGCCCCCTCGCTTTCGAATGCGGCTATTATTTCTGTGAAGGACCAGAAGATCTCTCCCCAGACTTTACTCGATGGGCTCCGGATCTCGGACGAGGCTGGATGGGATTGGCAAGTGGCCCAGATTTCTGATCATGAGTTTTCAGTTGTGTTCCCTTCCAAGGAGTGCATGTGGATGATCGCTTCTTGTACTAGCTTCACCCTTCCCCTCAACCAACTGGTCATCTCGGTCAAGCCGGCAACTTGCAATGGTACGGTGGTTGGCCCTCTTTCTCAGGTCTGGGTTTTGATTGATGATTTACCAGCTGGGCTCCGCTCTTCTGCCTTTCTCATGGTGGTGGGGGTTCTAATTGGGAAGCCCGTGGAGGTGGATTTGGAATCTCTGAATAAGGTTGGCCCCGCTAGGATGAAGATTTGGTGTCTGGATCCGGGTCGTGTTCATGGATCGGTCGATGTTTTTCCCTCCCCCGGCGGTATCAGGCTCAGGGTGCGGGTGGAGGGGGCGGCTGCCTATCAACCCCCTCCTCCCCCTTCTCCTCCTTCTAATCCCATGGATAAACACGATAAGGACGAGGATGGATCGATGGGTGGTAATAACCAGAGTGATGGCTCCAATCTTCGTTTCACCCAATCTGAATGGGATGGCTTGGCTGAGTCTGAAAGGGAGCTGTTCCAGTCTCAAGATCCTTCTAGTGCTGCCCCTCGGCAGTCTTTGGCGATTCCTCCTACTGATTCCATGGTTGCTGCTCCTGATGTTGCTTCTCTGAAGATCCCGCCTGTGTCGGC